TTAAATCATGGAACCAATCCGAACCAATCCATTTAAATACGGATTGGATCGGTTTAGGACCACGGATTCACATAATTAAATAACAAAAATATATATATAACACTTGAATTTCATAAAAATATAAACATAGCGCTATATTAGTTCCATAATAGCAACATGTTTTTCTATAATAACGACATACTGTTCTAGAATTTAAACAACCATAAGAAAACTGGTTTCACCATAAGTATTTAGACTATTGCAAATTAAAACTTAAAACTAACAAACAAAAGTAATAAAAGAAGATATTATACGATTTTAGGTTTGAGTTTAGATTTTACATAGAATAAGAAAAGATACTATGGGGGAGGATGTATAATAAAAATATAGACTATTTGTATACGGTCCGGATCGGTTCCAATCCGGAACCGTGAGATTCAATCCGGAACCAATCCGTGAACTACGGATTTTTAATTATTCAATCCGGAACCGAACCACGGATTCAAAAAACCAATCTAAACCTATCGGATTGGACTGAACTGGATCGGATTACGAATTTCACGGATTCCTTGCTCAGCCAGACTGCCAAACTACAAAAGCAAACACACGAAGAAAAGTCTCTCCACATTCTTCTTTCTTTTCACCAAACCCACATTCTGTCTGCCGAGTGGCACACTCGCATTGCTGCCCCCTCTCTCTCTCTCTCTCTCTCTCTCTCTCTCTCTCCTCCACAAACCGGCCTGCACCCCTCCACAACTCTAACCACCATCTCCTCTGTCCCTTGGATTAAACTTGTACTAATATTTGTCTCGTTTCAATCTTACTTTTTTGGTTTTTTTTGTATTTTGCTTTGGCAGTCCGGTGGCTTGCTAGGAGTGAACATTTATGTTGTAAATTAAAAATTGATAACTAAAAATATTAGGCTATGATTGATAAGACTTTTTAATTATGATTTGAGAATATAAGTTGTATTTTGAGTTTGTGTGTTTTGAAATTACGATTTGAGTGTAGAAAATTTGTTTGGTTATGATTTTTGAATAGAGTGTTAAATTGAGTGTGGAATTGAGTTTTGAAAGTTTGATTTTAAAAATTTGTTTGGTTATGAGTTTTAGAAAGAGTTTTTAAAACTTAATTCAAATTATTATAACTCATAACAAAACACACTACTTTCACATTATTGAAAATTCTGATCAACGCTCATAACCAAACTCTTTTTAAAATTTAATTAAAAAAATTTATTATTAACAGAAAATAACATTAATCAAATTTTTAATTGAAAATACTACAAAGGAAATAATTTTTTTCAAAATAAATATTCAAAAAATTTAAATCATAAATATTTAAATAATTTAAATAATCTAAAAAATTTAATAAGTAAAAAATTAAAATAAATATT